GCTAAAAAGTTTACTTTTCCGATTATATTTGTTAAAACGGCATGCATAGCATGAACACATTCAAAAAAACTTTCAATAATGACTTTATAGGAAGCTGGATGTTTTCAATCAGGCTCCATTCATGTTTGTTTGATCACCAAGGACATGGTCAAAGTTTAGAAGCACCACAGCTTCCCCAAACCAAACTTCAATTTGAACTCCCACTCAAATTGCACAGTTCCATTTGTTTTGGCACCCAAAGATGGTTCACTGGTGTCATTTACGTAACAGAAGCAAGAATATCTTTACATTGACCATGTGGTCAAGACTAAAGTACAGTGTATATATATATACAGCAAACCAAACTCAGTCATCTTCTGTCCGCACATTGGCTTCAGGTTATCAGGTTGTTGTTCAGCATGCAGCTCTGCACTACGCTCACAGTTCTCGGGCTCCTGGTAACAGGGTCACAGGCGCAGGGGTTGATGCCCACCATCAGCTTGCCCCCCTGTGATTCCCCTGAGGCTGAAGCAGCTGCTCTGGTGGCACAGGGATTCCTCAACACTCAGCACACACACGGTTACAAATATGTCCTAAATCAAATTGACGAAATCAAGATCGTCTCCGGGGTAAGACATCGGATGATCGTGAACAATGCTTGTGTGATGGTGGTTGTAACAGTCATGTGGTGTGTGAGAGTTAGTAACACTGGTCTTAAAAATGTAGAGTATATTATACGACTATTTTGTCCACTGAAATGTTTTAAGAATATGAATACACTTTACGGATTTTTAAAAATAAAGCTACAGTATTTGTTGCACACTTGTGATGCGCTTCTGAATATGTAACATTGTGATAAAACGTGTTTTTATATCTACGCTACAACTTTAAAATATATATATATTTTTTAATACTGATATAAATGGGGCTTTAAGATTCAAATGTCTTTTTGTAGCCACTTCAAGCAGACACGTACCATTTGGAGCTAGATTTTCTTGAAACTACGTGTCATGTCTTGGATCCAACACCTGTGAGCCTTTGTCCAGTCAGACAAAAAATTAATACGGTGAGAACTATATTCATGTGTGCTGTCGTAAATGTTGTATTGCAATTAATTAAGTATATTTCTGGTTCTCTTCTAGGCAGTTGAGGCCGATTGTGATTTTGTACTGGCAAATACAACTCAAGGTCTGTCTGTTGTGGCATTCAAGTGTAAAACTGAGACAGGTAAGAGGAAAATGCAAATCACTGTAAAAAAAAAAATGCATTTGTCGTCACCTGATCGCAGTGCAGAGAGGAGACGCTTTGTTTTTTGTTGTGTCTAGAATCAGAAGGTGGATGCGGAGGCTGCCTTCAACTCGTTCCATTAAATGACACCGATGGCCTCCAACTCATTGAAACCTCTTTAGATCATTTCAATAAAAATAATCCTCTAAACACAAAGTTTGCACTACTTGAAATTGGACGCATGGAATCCCAGGTAACGTACATGGAATACTCAAAATTATCCTCAGACAGCTTCCAATAGACAATATGGTACTGTTTTCAAATTTTTTTTGCAGATTGTCAGTGGCGGACCCAGGTACTTTGCAGAATATGCCATTATTGGGACTAACTGCACAAGTCAAGATGATGATATATGCATCCCTCAGAATCATACTGTTGCTGTAAGAATATTGAAATATCTTTGAGTGCGAGAGACTTTGGCTGGTGTGCAACTGTGTAAATGCTTGTGTCAAAGTCAACATGAAACCAAGCCCTCTTCATTTTTAAACCCCACCCCGTTCATTCTGCATGCCCACTTTTCATGATCCAGTCAAATCCCACGGATAAAATGAAGTCCTACATTTTTTCCCTGTTGAATATCCTGTTTAGCCAGAAATCACATCAGATTACAGAAGCAAAATGGGTTGAACTGTCTTTCATGTTGACTTCAAAGTGACTAATCCAATTTTTTTTTTACTATTTTTAGATTCATGGACTATGTCTAGCTGAAGGTTCTGCCAATCGTGTTAACTGCAAAATCTTTGCCCCAGTAAATACCACTTTGTTACTTCACATTAATGCAATACAATTATTGTAAATATAGAAAATTTAATGGCTGCCTTTAAAGGGTCAAGAAACCCCCGTTTCAGCACTGGTTATTTCTCACCACAGTTTTAAAAAAATGTTTAAAAAAGTGGGCATGGTCCAGGGGGGTAGGGGGTGGCCGAGACAAACAACACACACAGTTTCTTGTTCAGACAGTTTCATTTCGCTCCCATCGAGTTACCTCTGAGAACTTTTAAAGGGGTCATATGATGCTTTTTAAAAGATCATTATTTGGT